AAGTGCAGTCTCGGCAGAGTGGGAGCAGCCCCGGGAAGGTGAGAGCAGTCCTGGGAGGGCGGGAGCAGCCCGGTAAGGTGGGAGTAAGCCGGGAGGGTGGAAGAGCAGCCCCAGGAAGGTGGGAGCAGTCGTTAGGTGAGCGGGAGCAGCCCGGGATGGTGGAACCAGCCTCGGGAAGGTGGGAGTGAACCGCGCGGTGCCGGCGCCCGGTGCGCTCCGAAACCTACTGTCGGTGAGAATCCCTTAATTCCATTACACCTCCCGCAGCAATCCGCTTAGGGGAGGCCGTGGAGCGGCTGAGGAAAGACGGGACACCGATTAAACACACCTTGGCTTTATCCCGGGGGGAGAGAGCGCGGCGCAGGGCACGGGCAGAGCCGCGGGGCTCTCGGGTTCTGCCCAAGGCTCTGCCAACCGGGCTGGAGCCGCCTCCGCCGCTCCCGGGACAGCTTCACCCCGGATCCCTGTCCCCGCTGCCACCCCGGGTCACACGGGCTGCTCTGACGTTCCCCAGCCCGGCTGGGGCTGCTCCCAGTCCTGCAAAGATGCTCCCAAGGCTGGAGCCCCTCTGCTCTGGAGCCAGGCTGGGAGAGCTGGGGGTGCTCAGCTGGGGAAGAGAAGGATCCAGGGAGACCTTGGAGCCCCTTGCAGAGCCTAAAGGGGCTCCAGGAGAGCTGGAGAGGGACTGGGGACAAGGCATGGAGGGACAGGACACAGGGAATGGCTTCCCACTGCCAGAGGGCAGGGATAGGTGGGAGAGTGGGAAGGAATTCCTGACTGGGAGGGTACAGAGGGGCTGGCAAAGGTCGCCCAGAGAAGCTGTGGCTGCCCCTGGATCCCTGGAAGTGTCCAAGGCCAGGTTGGACGGGGCTTGGAGCAACCTGGGCTAGTGGAAGGTGTCCCTGCCCATGGAACGAGATGGTCTTTAAGGTCCCTCCCCCCCAGACCACCCTGCCACTGTAGGAATCCACCTGTGCCCGCTGCCCTCCAGCCCCATTCCCTGCTCCACCTTCACCCTCCCACTTTCAGCAGAAAGGAAAGACAAACACCCGTAAAAGGCATGGAAAATTTTATTCTTTACTGATCTTTAATAGTTTTTCGTTTGGTTCAAACACAATAAATATTTCAGTAATAGCATCGAACAGACCGGACTCCACACCCGCTGCAGTACCTGAACCCCCAGAGCCGGGACTCGGGGAGAGCCACCGGGGCTTTGCCAGGGCCAGCGTCCACTCCGGGGGACAGGGGCAGGGCAGTGTCCCTGCTGGGAGTCGGGGGGATGGATTTTGAAGTGCCCAACCTGGAGCACAGCCCCAGCTCTGACCGGATGAACGACACTGGGAGGGTGAGAGCAGCGAATTCCTGAGAACCCGGGGCAGGGACGCCCCGGCCACTCCCCTGGAGACCAGCCCAGAGACCTCCCAAGCCAGGTCTGACCACACCCCGGGTGGGCCAAAGGGTCCTCTACACACCAGCAGTGACCCTTTCCCACAAGCAAAGAGCTCCCGTCGTCGCCATCAATAATTTGGGTTGGAAAAACCCTCAGAGTCCATCGAGCCCAACTGTCCCCCAGCACTGCCCAGGCCACCCCTGACCCCTGTCCCCAAGTGCCACCTCCACAGGGCTGTTAAATCCCTGCAGGGGTGGGGACTCCCCCCTGCCCTGGGCAGCTGTGCCAGGGCTGCACAGCCCTTTCCAGGAAGGAATTGTTCCCAGTATCCAACCTGACCCTCTCCTGGCACAGCCTGAGGCCGTTCCCTCTTGTCCTCTCCCTGTCCCACCAAGAGCAGCCTCGGTGTCACCTCAGGCCCTGCTCTGACACAGCACAGGTGCCAAAGGCAGGAGCAGCCAAGGCTGTTTTCCCAACAGCACTGCTTCCCTAGGGATTGTCCAGGTCTATCCCAAGCAGGCTGGGAGGAGAAGAGTTTAGGGGCCTCCCAGAGCTGACCCCAGATCAGGACAGCTCCGAGTCCCTGCGGCAGGTCCTCGAAGTGCCAGGAGGTGACATCAGCCCTGCTGAAGGAGCTGGAAGGTGCTCCCAGAGCCTCAGGAGCTCCCCCTCCCAGCGCTGCTCCCGGCTCTGGCAAAGCCCCTGGCTCAGGTGCCTGATGTTTACGAGAAGAGGCGGCTGCCAAGTCCCATCCAGGGGCTCCAGGAGAGCTGGAGAGGGACTGGGGACAAGGCATCCTGGAGGGACAGGACACAGGGAAGGGCTTCCCACTGCCAGAGGGCAGGGAGAGATGGGAGATTGGGAACGGATTCCTGGCTGGGAGGGTGGTGAGGCCCTGGCCCAGGTTGCCCAGAGAAGCTGTGGCTGCCCCTGGATCCCTGGAAGTGTCCAAGGCTTGGAGCAACCTGAACTAACATTATCCCTGGAAGAAGAGACAACACAGGTCAGCTGGAGGAGCTGAGGAGCCAGGACAGGTGCCCTCCATCCCCAGGAGCACATCCCCTGGGGAGGACAGAGCCCAGCCAGTGACCTCCCCTGTGGGACATCCCCCTCAGGAGCTATTACCCAGGAACACACTTATCCTTCAGACCCAACACCAGAGTGATGGATAAACAGGTTGTTCCTCAGCTGTCACCCCCCACCCTGCCCACGGGCTTTGCTCTCTGCTCGTTTCTGTTCCCCTCTCAGGATCCAGGAGCAGAAATCACTGGATTTCTCCCAGCCCAAGGAGAACTCCCCCTCCTCAGCAGCACAGATCACTGAGGTGGGCTCTGCTCCCCCCCTGCTCTGGTGGCACCAGGGACAACCAGCCCAACCCAGCGCTGATTTAAGGAGACTTTGTTTTAGTGTCAAGGTGCAATCAATTAAGGCACCAAAAGGCCAGGACTTCCCAAAGCCTGTGCAGAGGAAGCAGTGCCAGTTTGGGAGAGAGATGTTTCTCCTACACACTGAGGTTCGAGCTCAGACAACTCCCAGCACCAGCAGCATCCCAGTCCTGTGGGCTCAGTGATGCCCGTGGGAAGAGCCGGGACCAGGCAAGGGCCAGGTTTGGGAGCCCAGAGCTCAGCCCTCCCCTGGCCCTGCAAACACACAACTAGACAGGAAACCATCCAACCCCCACGCTCTGTCAGTGCTGCCAGCCCAGCTCTGCCATCCAACCGTGTCCCAGGGAAGTGTGTCCCAGTTTAAGGTTCCCTCCGATTCCCGGGTGAGCGGCACTGAAATTTGTCTCCATAATTATGTCTCAGTGAACACCATTAAGCAGCCAAAAAATCAAGCGCAGCCCGGTTCATTTGCCCACTGAGGGTTTTTTTTTTCCTCTGTACAACATCAGTAAAAGGGATGGGACTTTATTAAATAAATTCTGAAAACCACCCACCCCCTTTCCCGGCCACGTCGCAGCCGCATGGACACGTGAGCACACGGACAACCAGAGCCTCCCACGGACATCCAGAGCCTCCCACAGACATCCAGAGCTTCCCATGGAATCCAGAGCCTCCCACGATGGGGGGGCAGTGCTGGGGGAGGTACCTGTTCATTCTCAGCCC